AAGCGCTTAGTCTGCGGCATAAGCGGACCGTTAGGGCCTTTGCACGTAGAAAAATTTTAACCGTAATCGTAAGAAGACTGACCAATCAGAGTTTATTCTTTTTGCGTTTGAGGAATAATCAACTGTGATTGGTCAATTTTCTTACGACCTTACGATTACGGTTAACATTTTTCTACGTGCAAAGGCCTTTAGGGGCGCCGCACACGAATTGACATAACAATAACGTAAGACGTACCGTAAAAATGGACCAATTACAATCGAGTATTCACAAAAATGGCAACCTTACGGTTCGACGATACTCAAAGTGATTGGTCAATTCTTACGGTACGTCTTACGTTACTGTTGTCAATTTATGTGTGGAGGCCCTTACGACGGTACGTTTACCTAACCTTTGTGGAGCCTAGAGTTTTTGTTAGAGCCGTTGCCCAGGTATTGTTATTACCGATTATTCGATCATTATTTCGTTATTATCCACTCGCAGATATTATCACACGATTGTCGAACAGATATTATTATAATTATAATAAAATAGTAATAATACTCGAATATTAAATGGTAAAGATAATAATATCTGTTCGACAATCGTGTGGTAATATCCGCGAGTGGATAATAACGAAATAATGATGATCGAATAATCAGTAATAACAATACCTGGGCAACGGCTCTAGCAAAAACTCTAGACTCCACAAAGGCTAGATAAACGTACCGTCGTAACGGCCAGCTTGTGCCGCAGACTGAGCGGCGCTTGGGGGGAGCGCGCGGCCGGGTCATGTAAACATGTGCGTGAGCACATGCTCGAGTGTCACACCACAACACTATCAACCGTCGAGGCGAACGCATTGGGAGCGTCGAGTCGAACCGCCGTTCACGGACACGGTCGCTCGCTGTGTGCGTGGCCTACGTCACGTTGTAAGCGGACCAAATCTTGCATCTCTGGTTTCGACTCCGCGACAATTAAGACGATAATTAGGATACATCAAGACGCGTACTCATCACACGAGCAGATGTTGCGGACTTTAACGCGGCGGGTAACTACCACAATTCATTTACCTTTTTACGCGTTTTATTTAATTGTTAGAAACAGAAACGTCGCGATTGATTTCCTCAATGCTAATTAGATATTATCATCATCATCTATTAATTAATTGAGTATTATTACTTGTTTATTCGGTTATCATTTGATATTTTATGAAATATTTTAGTGTGAATACATTACGAAAGATTCTCCCAGCGTGAAAAATATCGCGCTTTTTTTAATCATTTTTTTTAATCTTTCAAACTTCTTTATTCAAATCGACATTAATGCACGAATCTAATCGGCGAAACGACATTTTTCTGTTCCAGAAACGAAAACAGAACGTGGCTGCTCTGATCAGTGATTCGGTGAGTCAATATAAGAAACATATCGATAATAGAAAGACAAAAGTCTTTCGATGTAGTGCATGTTTATGAATCAATGCGATTTACTTTGCTGTAATTGTAGTATGCGTATGTGCCGTCCAATAAAATCACCCTGCTCGAAACATTTGAAAGATCGTTTTTTTAAAGAAAAATTTGTAATGCATATTCTACACAAATTTGATAAATAAATTTTCAAGTAGTTTTCTCTTGATGTACATATATTTATTAATTGATTAACTTACACATACATTATTGATTGGTCGACAATTTTTGTCGAAAATTTTGATTAATCAAACTCCAACACTATCTGGTAGATGTTTAAAGTATTGAGTATACGCTTTGAACTTTCAAAATTTTGTAAAATTATTCAGTTTTATTGAATGCGATCTTCCAGGTGTTTCGAGCAGTGCGTCAACACACAAAGAGATTGCGCCACAGAAAATGCGCAATCACATCATCCTCGTCATAGATCTTCCGCCGGTCATTAATTTTCTTTCTCGCGTAAGCTTAAATCGCGATTGCATTTCATAAAGTAGAGTTTATGCTTCGTTATTAAGTAAAATCTGAGATCGTGCGGCATCTGCGCAAAGAAATCTAACGTGATTATATAAATTGCTTGCAAAATTAATTTCACGATCATCGGAAAATTTTCAGATTTCAAATTTTCACTTAGAGTTTTCCAACGCGGAACACAATAAAGACAATGCTAGCGAATCTCGATCCCTCGCGAGAAACACGATATATACAAGTCAGACATGCGAGTAGTTTACTTACGCGGCGCGCGACAAGTTCCATCGAACGAAGACAGACGTCTCACGCGGTAACAATTTTTTCGCGTGAATTTTGAATAGAATCTTTATCTCTATCGTCACAATTTTTATAGTTTTTGATTTTTCATTCATACTCGTGTTTGCGATTATTAATTTGATAAGTTTGCGAATTTCATTGGATCGTATTTGCGGAAGAGTCGCGAGCAAACTTCGTAGAAATATTGCGGAGTTGTTATCCGCAATAGAATTGCGAAATTGTCTTCGCAAAAGTATTGCGGAGCTCTTATCTGCAAAAATATTGCGGAATTGTCTTCGCAAAAGTATTGCGGAGTTGTTATCCGCAAAAACTTTGCAGAATTGTTTTCGTAAAAATATTGCGGAGCTGTTATCCGCAAAAATACTGCGGAGCTGTATTGCAACCTACTACGCTGCATCATTGAAACGTTACATTAGGGATATTCCGTGTCGTACATGAGAATTTCGCACAAATTACTTTGTCCACGCATGGAAAGATTTCACGAGATCGACTTTCGATTCGCGTCGCGTGTTCCTTTCGCTCGCGGATTCCGTTTTCTTCGTAAGCGATTCGCGTGTATATCAAAGCGATACACTATAACTCGATTGGACCGTTGCTGAATTCGTTGCACATACTCGTCATTTATCCGAAAAACCGACATTTCCTCGAAGACGCAGTTTGCGATATTTTATACACAATTCGCAACTCGGAGTGTATCCCCCAAAAGAGACGGGATTTTTCGTACAACCTTCGTTAGATTACCGTGATCGGGAGTGAATTACAGGTGACGTGGGACGCGAGGACCATTGCAGTGTCAGGTGTAGCTGATAGCTGATGGACTCTGGACACTGTGGGACAACGCGCAATGGTGAGCGCTCAATTTAGACGCTCATATAGTAGACACAAAGCGTCACTTTACGTAGATTGCATGCACGTAGACGTAAATCGCATTGGCTCCGACGGGAAGTAAAGTAAGAATTGGAATTTACAATTCGTCGGATTTATGTAAGAATGATCCAACCAAAGAATTTAGCCTTGAGATTTTCACAATAGTTCAACGAGTCAAGCATTTTCATTTCTTTAAGAATACTGACTAGCTCAATCCTTAGAAAAATGTGTAAAAAGACGCAACTCAAAAACAAAAACAAAAACAAAAAAAAACAAAAAACTATTTCTTAATTCATTTCAAGCATCTATAAGGCTTGAATTATTTTGTTTGGATTAAAAAGATGTGAATGGAATATCCATTGATTTAAGCTTATAATTTTTTTAATTGGATCATTTTTGCTTAACAATAGCCAATTGAAATTTCGATTCGGCAGGCTTCCTTCTCGTCGGATTATTTCTTGATGATACATTAAACTGACATATATCAACATGTCATATTTATATGCTCTGTATATGTTATATATGCTTTTTTATGCTCTATATGTTTTATATATATATATATATATATATATATATATATATATATATATATATATATGTATGCTCTATATATATTATTTGACTCACATACTTCTTATAACTTCTTATGTCGTACGTATACGACATACTATTTCTTCGAAGATATTTTTCTATGCATATGCATTTGTTGTTGACAAGACGACAAATTAAATTTCAACAAATTAAAGACAATAAATTAAAATATTAAGCCGACACTTGAATCGAAATTTTTCAATTTTCCGCTAAATTATTGAGCTGACATTCGGACCCGTTTGTTTTGAAATTCCGTTAAACCATTAAGCCGAAATTCGAACCGATGTGTTTTGAGCCTCCGTTAAATTATTAAATCGAGATTCGAACCGGTATGTTTTGCATTTCCGCAAAATTCTTAAACCGAGTTAAGCCTGGGATAATTTTTTAAAGTTTCTTAAAGAAATTTTCATGTTTGAATAGGTGTATTTTCGAAAGTCGGTCATGTTAGTGCAGGTTAGGTCATATAGTGTTAGCATGTAGAGCACCTTCTGGGATAGTTTTTTAGGGTTTTTTAAACTAACATTTGCGTTTGAAAAAGGTATAATAAAAAGGTATAATAAAAGGTTTCGAAATTGAAGTCAGGTTGTCAGGTGCTTATTTCCTTCTATATTATCTCTTGAGTGACAATGTGTGTTTGTGTCACTCCACTCCCTCAGCAGTACGTCCAGAATCATGAAAATAATTTCCTAATATCCTAAAGACACGTCCATAACATTAGATCCGTCGTAGCATTATTTCGGATTCTCGTGCATGCGCAGTGGTACTTATTCTACGTATGGGCTGAAAGTCGGTCATGTTAGTGCCGGTTAGGTCATGTAGTGTTAGCATGTAGAGCACCTTCTGGGATAGTTTTTTAGAATTTTTTAAAGTAACTTTCGCGCTTGAAATGATGTATTTTCGAAAATGACGTCAAGGCTTATTTCGCTCTGCATCGTCTCCTAGTTGACAATGTGTGTTAGTGTCACTTTACTCTGTCAGTAACACGTCCGGAATCTTGAAAATAACTTGTTGAAAACTTGTAAACTTTGCAGAAATACTCGATGTCATGGTAGTAACTGTTCTTTATCGTTTTCGTCTCATATTGTGGGACGTTCCGCTTCATTTTCGCACTTTTATCGTGTAAAGGAATTTTTAATTCGATGCAAGTAATCTTTGCAGAAAAATTCGATGTCGTAATAGTAACCATTTCTTATCATTGTCGTCTCATATTGATGGATACTCCGCTTCATTTCCGTATATACTTTCACCATGCAATAGGGTTTTTAATTTGGTCGAATCAGCACGAGACAATAGTTTTGGAAAGGTATACGTCAACGACATTTCTCAACAAATTTTACTTTGTGTTGACTTGACCAAATTAAAAATTCTTTTCTATAGTAAAAGTACATGTATAAATGAAATAGAGCATTCCTGCCTTAAGGATGAAAACGATGTGGAACTATTACGATCGTGACACTGATTTCATTTTTCAAAAATTACAACGTACTGACTGCTCCAGTTTATATGATAAAATTACGTGCGAAAATAAAGTGTAACATTGGTCAGTGCGAAATGAAAGTGATATCTCAGATTACCGTTGCTAATTATATTGAAAGCTCAAATAATAGGTAACGTATTTTTTTTTAAATTATTCGTAAACTACGCTTGCGCCTACAACACTCTCCTCTAAAAACTTTTTCTTTGATGCACCCAGTACACAAGCGGTTTGAAGAATTCATTAGAAAAGTAGCCTATTTTGGAGAGGATGCGAATATTGGCAACGCGGCATTCACATTTATGTAACGTCTATGTGTAAGAAAATTGAAATGACAACGTAGCACACTTGCATAACATTTGTGAAAAGATGATAGCGGTGTCATGTTAGCACTTATTTGACGATCGTCTTTATTCCATAAGTATCTATGTGTACATAAATTCGATATCGTCGGTAAATGATGATAGCTACTGTTTTCTACTTTTTTCTGATCGCTCTACGTTATCGACGCTACGTTATCAAGTTCGTCGCTCGCTCCGGCTTCCCCTTAATAATTATTACTTTTGAAGCTTGCCTCAAGTGAGATTATTCGTATTTGAATTTAGAGTTAGATGCGAGTTTTTCAGTTGAATCGCGATTACAAATGTAATGTTACATATATTATATGATCCAAATAAAAAACTCACATCTAATTCTAAATTCAGATCCAAATATCTCACACGTTTCAAATAACGACTGTTGACATGAGCCTTCAAAAAGCAGAAATTGTTTTCTATTTTTTTTTCTCTGTTTTCAAGCCATCACCGCTGATATTCGAAGGGCGCATTGTTTACCCGTGTCGAATAATGACATTGGCGATCTCTCTCGGATCTATAGGCACAAAAAGCGCGCGGTTAATATTCCGTCACATTTAATCCGGCGCGATAAGCGTTCTTTTTGCCCGCGTATTGTTTTAGAAACGATTGGCGTCACGGCTCCGGAAGATTTAACGGCACATATTGCCTACTGGATTGCCGCAGCTGCTGCGGTTTCCGGACCCGATGGCCAGTTGGCCGAATTGTTGCCAAATTGCGTTCTTCCGTTCATCGAGAGCGCACGTGGTAACACGAATGATTTGCATGCAGAACTCACTGCCACCTTCCGGCTGCGTCCGTTCCGACTGCCATTTATCGCGAATTCATCAATGACTTCTCTGTC